TCGGGAAAAAACAAAAAAAAAAAAAAAAAAAAAAAAAAAAAAAACGGAAAAAAAAAAAAAAAAAAAAAAAAAAACGAATACGCTGATCGTACTGGGTAACTGGATAAGGAGTGCAGCTAGATGTGATGAGATCTTGAACAAGGGTGTGCACCAAGCCGCAGACATGGTCTTCATATAAACAAAGAGTCCTGACTTGGATCTGATATAGTCGTCATAGAGTCATCTCGGGTCTGCTAGGGCCGTGAAGAGTCAACCATTACCATCATCTACACCAAGTGGACACAACGACAAACGCCAAACATGCTTGGCATCCGAAAAATGCGACCTGACATGCACCTGGGCGTCGTGGTTTGCACTTTGCTGCGATGTCTACGACATGAGACTCCACCACAGCTTGGGATTTTGTCAACGACGGGCGCAGGACACCCCAGGCCTGCTCAGGAGTCTCCGAGGAACGCTTTAGGTGCAATGGAATCGAGTAGAGAGCTTCGGCAAAGCAAGTACTCACTTGGCCCTGTCAAAACGGGGCCAGCAAAGCGTCCGTTCGCCAGCCAGAGCATCCTCACAGTGTTCCAATGCCGTTGTCCGTTCTTGGTACTACTACTGATGTTCATGGACAGCCCAGTCAGTCCCTTGGGCTCCCCTGTCGAGTTGAACCGGGGATTTCTGCAAGTCTGCGCGACGAAAAAGGTCTGTGTGTTGCGTTCGCACCTTGATACTCGGTACTATAGTAATACTAATACTACCCCGTCATCTGATCATTACGCTGCGCGGGCCGACTTGGTATGGGGATATCATAATGACAAATGCAAGCTGAGCCATAGCTATTGGGCAAAACTACGGGTTGCATATCGGTTTGTATCCGGCAGATGGCGATCAAAGGCAACAGCCGTAGATGTCGGACGACAAGGTGGAGAGCAGTCCAAGTTGGTTTAACCAGGACGCCACCCTCGGCGAGGCGTTAGATACGTCAATTCAGTCGCAAAATGGGGGTTGCGCTGTAAACAGCTCGAGGTCCAATTTTGCCGTAAAGCTCCTTGCGCCAACACGCCAACGGCTCATTAGCTCAGCAGCACGCGGTTGGACAAGAGGGATTCGGCCCCGGGAACCGGGGTCATGCGCGCTCCGAGCGCAATGGTGAACAGACTGCATTAGTTTTGTCTCACTTGGTTGAATTGCGGCCTTGGGAGGGGGGAGGACACTGTCGAGATCAAGGTCTGCATTTCATCTTCATCATCTAGACCTGCGTCGAGGCCAAAAGTAAAATGTGAATGCACCGCCCGAGGCTCGTAGCGTCGACTGCACAGCTGCTTCACAGTTGGTCTTTGCTTCGGGAATCGCGCACGCACGGGTCAAAGGTTGGAGGTGCGCTAATCAATTCCAAATCTCAATATCATCGTCTTGCCTCGCATGAGTAACGAATCTGCTCAGCGACGCTGCTAACGGTGCCATCGTTGCCGAGCTCACGCAAAAGAGTACCAGCCTGGAGATGACAAAACAAAACTATCGTTGGATAAAGGACATCATAGAGGCGCGACTATGGCTTCATCCGGCTTGGTGTTGGCGTGCACGGTCAGATTGGGGGCTGGAGTAGCATTGAGTTCTCTGCCCTTGGGAGAGTGACGCCACCGGACACTGCATTGAACTGGTCCTGTGCATTATAGAGCTCGACGGGCAATGGATGGTGCGCCTGTTGACGAAAACTACAGAGTATGCAGGGTGCATATGCCGAAATTCGCGTGTGAGATCATAGACAAGGCTGATGCGGTGGAACTTGGAGAATAGTTCGCCGGCAGGAGACACATCCGGCACCCGCATGGTGTCCTGTAAAGTAATCAACATTTTTGCATTGAGTGAAAATGTGTTCGTCACAACAAAAGCGAACTAAACTGTGGTCTCGCCAGTCACCGTGTTCAATTGCGCCAACGCGGAAGTAACTTGTTTCTTCTTCCTTTACTTGAAGAAGTCGGGAATCAAGGGACATGAACAAGAAACAATGTAGTTATTTTCAACAATTGAGACAACGGAAAAAGGCATCCAAACCACATCAGCCCTTGTAGCTGGTCCTGCGGCTGATGTGTAACAAGGGTCATGTCTGCGGTGCTGTGGTTGAAGAAGCGTGGCCAACATTATCACAAGGATTCTTTCTCTCGCCCGCGAGATGAAATCAGATGTTTCCACTCTTTCTCGGGCCATCCAAGGCCCAATCGTCTGTCCGATTCTATTGAATCTCTCTCCTACAAACTGTTGAGCGGAACTGACAACCATCGTCAGCCTACGGGGTTCCATAACTTCCATGCATGCATATGCAGATATCTGCAGAGTCCTGTGTAACTCAGATTTGAGCCCGCAACCCTGACGCCATCTGATCACAAAACTCTGACAGAATTGGACAGAAGTGAGTGAGGTCTAGAAACCCCGAGCGTCTTGAGCGTCTTGCGCAGGAAATAGTTGTCCCTTACACCCGGGTGCTCCGACTCCTTGCAGCGAAGTAGCAGAACAAGTAGTTTACCCAACTGAAGTCGGTAGATTCCGTCAACAGTGACCGAGTATTTCCCACGAGGACTGGGCGGTATGGAAGAGGCAACCACCACTCGGCGGAAATCTGACAAACGCGGCACGACGGCGCCACCATCACTCAGTTCGTCACCGCCAACTTTTCAAATCACCGACTCGGGCAATCGTCGTCGTACCCAGAGTCGACTTCCCGCCCAGTGCTGGTCCACCTCTAATCCTCCAGCTGCCTTAGTTCAACATGCTCCTGGACCCATGGCTCCAAGGCCCCCAAAGTGATGTCGCGTCGTGGTTCAGTACTCAGTGGCACGACCTTGCCCCAAGCGTTGCGACCATTGCCGACCTGGACACGATGCTTCGAGACATTGAAAGTCGTCCCACATCAACCAACACGCTCAACGGCCATGACCATCCGCTCGGGTCAAACCCTCGCCGGCTCGGCCGCCAAGAGGCTGGATCGGAGCCTAGAAGGGAGCAAGGGCCGGCTTCAGGCCCGGAATCCTTCATCGACGTCGTTGTACTCCGTAATTTCGCACGAGTTTGCGGGCCACTGCCACAGAGAGACGTTGGAAGAACTGCCTCCTTCAACACCCGTGTTTGCTGCCGATGTCGCGGCAGGCCTCATTCGCACCCGGGGCCGTTTCAACCAAGTCATTACAACGCCTCCCCTGGGCCCTGGAGTGGAATGGTCCCGGCTGACAGTTGGTCCATTGCCAAACCAGTTAGCCATTGGCAGGGTCGTCACGCCGGGAAATGCCTTCAATGTTGAATTATCACGCGGCTACGTTTGTGGCCTTTGACCTTGGAACCGGCCACGGCTGCGAGGCGGTTGTTTACTCGCCCCATGGCATCGAGAGCAAAGATCTGGAGAGAATGGCGTCGTCTCGGGTACGGACACTGTCACTGCTTCACGGCTTGCACGACGTACGCATATGGATGACAAAACAACTGAACCTGGGTGCTACAAATGGCATCAGGGCCGCAAGGGCTTGTGGTGTCAAGTACAGGACTGGGACGCACGACGAAGTAAAGGGAGGGGGTGGGATTATTGCACCGTTTCTTCAGCGAATCCGCTATTCCTTTCAAGATGTCATTGCTCACGAAGAGCAACGACTGAAACACTCGACCGGCGAATCGTTGCAGAAGACTAGTTAGTTTCTAGAGCTTGGATCGGGAGATGACCTGGTTCTCACATGGTGTGTGCCCGAGGGGACAGCAATACTTTCTTCCTTGCTTGCTTTCATTGGAACAGATGATTGTGTATAGGAGCAATTTGTTACTTCTTTTCCCCCCATTTACCCAACAACACAGCATGTCCTCGACTCCTCGACTGGAAGTCGGGAATACTCATCCCGCGACACTTATCCCAAATTACCATTTATTGTCAAATACCTTGCCGCCAACTATGTTTATCAAAGCTTTAACTGGCCTCAATTTCTGACGAGGTGGTCCAAGGCTCATCGCCCTGTGCATGAGAGTCCTGTAGTTGTTGCCAGGAGACAATCGCCCGAGGATCTGCTCCCTGCGTGTCTCAACGCGATCCGGCACGAGAATTGGACGTCCAACAATTGACTGCGCCGTGATCCGTGTAATCGTCGCCACCACATCGTCCGGCGACAGGCCCTTCTTCCCGGCCCTTGCAATCAGCTCCAGCGCCAGCGTATCTCGGAAGTCCTCGCGGCCTGTTGTCTTGGGTATGCTCTTCGAGAAATACGCGTGGCTGGACAGGAAGTCGTCCACCAGGACCTGGTCGACGGCGCCTCGCCTCCCCATTTCTCCGTCCTTGTCGAATTCTCGATCGCCGCCGGTGTAGTGCCGAACCGCGGCGTCAATATACACGTTTCCCGGGCCGGTGTCGAACTCGTAGCATAGGTCGACCCCGCCTCGACTGTCTGGCGGGATGAAGCACACACTGGCGATGCCGCTGATGTTTTGACACGCCCGCAGCTTGGTTGGGTGGTGTGGCAGCAGAGCATCGAAAAAGGCGACTAGTGGTGCGCCTTGACGGCCGACGGCTACTTC